TTGAAAATTATTATGTAAACAATTTTTTTGTCAATTGAAAATGTGATTTTACATATACAATCTACTTTAAAATTATAGTCATACAACATAATTTCAAGATCATCACAAAGTGATAAATGTAATAAATCGAACTTCCATCATGCTGACTGTACCATAAAGTTCCAAAAGATAGAACCCCCAAAAGATAGCACCCCCTACTTTAAAACAATTGAAAATCATTTGTTACACAGTTGTAAACAATAGGGGGTTCTATTTTTCCTTTCCTGCAACTATGGTTAACATGAGACTGGAAGCCAACAACAAACAATTCTCCATTACTGGCTTAGTGGTACTCAATCACCAAAGGAGATACATCAAAAAACTAATATTCCCCTTCATACTATCAAATATAATTTTAAAAAACTTCAAGATACAGAAACCATTGAACACAGGAAAGGAAATGGATGCATTTCTAAGGGTACACAAAGTGTCATTACAAGATGATGTTGCTGAATTAATACAAGATGTTGATGTTCCTTAATTAATACAATTTAGATAATTGAACCTAATTCATCTATTCTATCAATAATTATAAAATTAGAAGGTTATATATTATTTTGAATTGTTATAATTTATATTTATTAATTAATTTGTTCATACTGATCATTAATTATTATTTTAGATTTGAAAAAGATTATCTAAGTTCAATAATAAATAGCTCAAAAAATATGACTGGATAGTTTTAGAAGAAAGGGATGGAAAAAATTTCTTATTTTGCAAGGTTGTAAGAATTAGGAAAAACTAAAATTTGGGCCAAAGATGGAAGACATGGTAGATCAATTGCACATTTAGTTGGTTTAGATCAGGGTTGGCAAATTGACTGGTCCATTGAAAATAGATGGATTTTGGACTGGTCCATTGTCATTAATAAAATACTAAATATGGTTAAAGTGTTACACTAATGGACCAATGGACTGCACATTTACTCACCCTGGTTAAAATTCAAAAATCAACAAAAAATTATCAAGGTAGAGAAGCATTAGGTATAAGCAACATGCATAATATTTATTATTTGACAAAGCATAATCATACTTTTAATACCTTTCCTGATTTATGCCAATTTAAGAGAAAATGATAACTCTACATGTAACCTTTCACATAACAATTTTCAAGTTAATAAAAAAAATGCATTGAAATTTTAAATTTAAATTTTTGTAATTGGTTTGAGTCAAGTTATTGAACCACTGATGGTTGAATTGTTTGAATTGTTGATGGTTCAAATCGAATTATCAAATATTCAAATCAAAAAATTTTTTGATTATGGTTCAAAATCAGTCTAAACTGGTTTGCTTTTGTAATTTCTCAAGCTAACAAATCTTTCCATTTAACCACATAAATTTCTCATATTACTCTATTTTAACAATGTTGAGAGCCTGTAACTTCCTTATCCATTCCACCATTGGATCATATTTTTGCTGTGTCTGTCATATACCAGGTGATAGAAGAACAACCAGAGTATCCAGAGGAATATCCACACAGTGCAGTACAACAAAGCATAGCTAGTAAAGATCAGAAAGGAAAGAGGAGAAAACAACCAGATGCAATGTTTTTGGTAAAACACAAAAGAAAATTATACGAACTCCTGTATTCCAAATACTCGCATCTGGTTTGTGATAATAATCAAGAACTATGAGGTTGGATGAAGCTGTGGCAGGAATTGAATGATGGGATGTATTGGACTCATAAGGGTTGCAAAATGGGTGAAGGTGATTCAGCATTGTTGGAATCCAAGTAGCTGGAAAGATACTTCATCTATTTGTTCTTATCTGAGGTGAAGACTTACATCATTTATACCACTTATGCTTGGTGAAGATTCCAATACAACACACCGCAGGTACTGAAAAGCTGATTTAATTCATGAAAGCATTGTTATTATTATGGGTATATTTGATCTATGCTATTCTGTTTTATGACTAAGTTTAAGCCTGGTTGATGTAGACCTTGATGCATGATATAGTGAAGAATTATTGAAATTGTGATATTCTGAAAATAACATGAAAAATAAATTATCTATCATTACTAGAACAAATTGAAATAATAATTATAGTGACAATAAAATCAACTTAAAAGGTTATATTAATTCGAATATAAATGATTGTTCCTCCTTGGTGCCAGAAAAGAATCAAGATCATGATGTGAAACTTATTAATAGAAAAATTTGTGATTCATTCAATTGAAAGTAAAAATGAAAACTTTCAAGCAAAAAAAAATTTATATAATATATATATTCTTTAATAATAATTTACAATTCTAACATGAGGTTCATTAATTGCATCATTATCTTTCTTAAAACTTGATAAAATGGTTTTTCTAACTGCGAAATCTTTTAATTTACCACTTGACATTTTACCAGTTTAAATTATATTATTCAATCTACCAATTTCACTATCTACATAATTTGATTTCTCGTTAATTTTTTACATGACTTTAATATAATATCTGAAAAAAAATTAATATATATACATGTAATTTATAAATATATTATATATATAAATCATAGAATATATAGCATAGCATATAGATAAATAACTATTTACCTGCTGTTTATTTTGTTTTCAATTGATTTAGCATCAATAATAATTTGAGACTTTTATCAGTAGAACCACTTGCGATTTTCTTTGCCAATTCATCTAATTCTGATATTTTACAACCTAATGTATATGACAATAGCAATTAAAAAAAAATCAATATAATTTATTAAATTATAATATAAAATATTTATATTTACCTCTTTAGATAAACTACCACCAATTAAAAGAAGTGAATCATTTCGATTTTCTTCAACTTCCATTTCCACTTCCTCATCCTCATCAGACACCAGATGCATGTGGATTATGTTTCAATTTAACGCAGGTGATCTACATCTGATTTTTAAATACTACAGTCAACCCTCTCTAAGTTCACCCTCCTTGGGAACATATCACTATTTCTCATGGACGTGCATTTAGAGAGGGTGTGCATTTAGAGGGGGTAATTTTATAATCTCACTGTAAGTTTGGGAATGAGACGTGGCGTGCATTTAGAGAGGGTTTACATAGTGAGTGCATTTAGAGAGGGTGCACTTAGAGGAGGTTGACTGTAACTAATCTTCTTTTTATCCGCGGTGTTCACGAATATTCGGATTTTATGTTACACACATTTATATACTAAATGTAATAAATAGTAATGAAACATCTCTCTCTCAACTTCAAGTTGAACAAGTTGGTAGGTTCCAATAAGCGGGTGTGTTAGCATAATTCTTGAAACGGGCTATCTTTTATGGTAAAATCGTGCATTATAAATATGTATTGCAGATTGATTTTTCATTGGCAGGATTGAGCAGGCAGGATATATTACTGGAAAAGATCTGCACGACATTTCCTTTGACTAATAGCTAAAATAACTTTAAAAAAAAAAATAATAATGTCATACACAGTACTAATGGTAAATTAATAAAATAAATTAAATAAATTAATAACTAAATAAATTGGTCAATTTAAACTATATATTTTATGGTTCTATTTTTTAAAGGTTGCAGAGAAACCATCTCTTGCAGAATCAATATCAAAAATTTTAGCACCTAATGGACAAGTAAGAAAACCAATTAATTAAAATTTCAAATTATCATAAATACATTGATTGAATGTTTTGTATTATATTAGTGTAATACAAGAAAATCAATTACACCAGTTCATGAATATACAAGTGAATTCCATGGTAAAAAATCAAAATTTAAATTTACATCAGTTAAGGGTCATGTTTATGGGTAATAAATATATAAATAAGCAATAAATAATAATGTTATTTATTATAATATATTAATGCAATTTTTTATTCTAGTTTGGATTTCACTCAGACACATAATAATTGGAATATTGATCCATTAACATTATTTACTGCTCCAACTATGAGATCAGAGACTGATGTAAAGGAACAATAGTATTAATTGATTAAAATGATTGTTGATTGGTTGATTGATTTACTAATAATTGATTGATTGATTAAATATAGGGCAAAATTTGCAAACATCTTAATAATGAGTCAAAAAGTAAATTTAATATCATCATTGTAATATATATATATATAAATGATTTTAAAATTTAAAATCTTTTTTTTTTTTTTTTTTTGAAAAAATTAGATATTGATTATCTTGTACTTTGGTTGGATTGTGACAGAGAAGGTGAAAATATTTGTTTTGAGGTGATTGATAATGTTATACATAATATGAAATCATCAATTGATGGTAAAACTAAAAATCAAAGAATATTAAGAGCAAAGTTTTCAGGTGATTAATTGAATAAAATTTTCTTAATGTTATTCTTTTTTTTTAAATAAGATCTAAATAATAATTTTTCTTTGAAAATACTTCATAAAGCAATTACTTATGAAGATATTCATAAAGCAATGAATAATTTAGGTTATCCAAATAAAAATGAAGCCTTAGGTAAATAATAACAATAATATAATATTAACAATTATTATTAATTTAATTAATGGTTTTTTTATTTAGCTGTGGATGCTCGTCAAGAACTTGATCTTAAAGTAAGTATAATTATTACTGTTATCACAATTAAAATAACCATCATCATCACCACCATTGTCATTATCAACTGTCATCCATCCATCCACTTGCCTTATTTATTTATTAGATTGGATGTGCTTTTACTAGATTTCAAACAAAATTCTTTAATGAGAAATATGGAAATCTTGATTCTCGAGTTATTTCATATGGTCCATGTCAAACTCCTACTTTATCATTCTGTGTATCAAGACATGATCAAATACAACATTTTATACCAGAAAAATATTGGACTTTATCATTAACAATTTCTAAAGACAATGCCAATATATCTTTAAAATGGAAAAGATCAAGGATTTTTGATAGAAAAATTGCTAATTTATTTTTAAAAATGATAGAAGAAAACTCAAAAGATATAAAGTATATAATAATATAATGTTATGTTATATAATTATATTTATATAAATAATATGATTTATTACTTTCTCTTTTTTTTTAAATAGAGTAACTGCCATTACATCTGAAATAAAAACAAAATATAGACCAGTTGCATTAAATACTGTTGAATTATTAAAATTTGGTTCTTCAAATCTTGGAATTAGTCCACACGAAATGGTAATTTTGCATTTATATATTTTTTGGGAAAGATTGGTGATGATAATGACATTATTTATAATAGATGTCACATGCAGAAAAACTATATATGCAAGGGTATATTTCATATCCAAGAACAGAAACAACAAGTTATCCACGAAATTTTGATTTAATTTCTGTTTTGAAAACTCAAGTAAATAGCACAACATGGTAAAATTTAATATTTAATTATTTTAATTAATTGCTTTTATTATTCTTCTTGACTTTTAATTAATGCCTGTAATTTTAAAGGGGAGCATATGCTAAAGAGTTGTTAGATAATGGAGTAGACAGGCCAACAGGAGGAAAAGATGTTGGTAAGTAATATATTAATTTATTAATTAATAGATTATTAAGTGTGTATTTATTTGTTCAGTTAATTAAACATAATTGTTTTAGGTGATCATCCTCCTATGTAAGTTAATATTATTTAATATTGCTATTTACCATCTAAGTTATTCAAATTATTTGTTTTTTCTTTGTTATAGAACTCCAATGAAATTAGCAAATGAAGGTGACTTGCATGGTGATTTGTGGAGAGTCTACTCTTTTATAACAAAGTATTTTCTTGGATCTATAAGTAAAAATATTAAATTGAAAGAAAATACTATTTTAATAAAAATTGCAAATGAATCTTTTGAAATTACTGGAGCTAAAGTCATAGAACCAGGTTTCTCCAAAATAATGCATTGGTTAGTAATCAATAATTAATTAGTAGTTGATTATTATTTTGAATTAACACTATTAATATTATTATTATTATTATTATTATTTATAAAAAAATTTTCTAGGCGTAAACTACCAAATGATGAAAATTTGCCTGATTTTCGTAAAGGAGAAAATCTAAATTTGGTAAATTATAAATTAACAGAAGGACTAACAAGCCCACCAGATTATTTTACAGAAAGTGAAGTCATTGGATTGGTAAACAATATATATAATATTAATTATTCATTTAATAAATAGTTGATTGAATGATTATTTATTATTTTTCAGATGGAAAAACATGGAATTGGTACAGATGCATCCATACCAACTCATATTAATAATATATGCCAAAGAAATTATGCTACAGTTAAAGGAAATGACCGTAGATTAGTTCCAACAAATTTAGGAATTGTGCTTATTCATGGGTAAATTGATTATGATGATGATTATATAATTAACGGTTATAATTAGTATTATTAACATTATCTCATTATCATTATTATATTTATCAATGATTTTATAAATAAATATTTTAAATAGATATTGTATCCTTTTATAAAAAAAAACATTTACATATTTTGTTTGATTATAATAATATATTAAATTTAATTATTATAATTGGCATTTAATATAGGTAAAATTGATCCTGATTTGTCACTTCCTACAATGAGAAGTGATATTGAAAAACAATTGAATTATATTGCATCAGGAAAAGCTGAATTTTCAAAATTTTTAGAATATTTTCTAAAATTATTTGCTGAAAAATTTAAATATTTTGGAGAGAAAATTGATTTAATGGATGAATTATTTGAAGCAAATTTTTCTCCACTTGCCTCAGTTGGTAAAGTAATGTCAAAATGTGGTAAATGTAGAAGGTAATTAAGTCTTTCTTGTTAATAAATTATTATTAAATAGATTAATTTGCTAATTATTATTTATTATGTTGTAAGATATATGAAATATATTCAAATGAAGTAAGTGGACTAATAACAAAAATTTTAAGAGATCAATATCATTATGGCATTACTAATAATATTATTTATAGACCTCAAAGATTGCATTGTTCAGTCTGTAATGAAACTTATTCATTACCACAAAATGGGAATATCAAGGTAAAAAATAACAGTAACAGTAATAGTAATAACAAAGAATTTTTTATATTATTAATAACATTGATTATGAAATTTTATTCTTAAATAATAGTTATTTAAAGAATTGAAATGCGTGAGTTAATAAATCTGGTGTTATATTTTCATTGTCTATTAATACTACTACTAATACTAATAATGTTACTTTTTTAATTATAAGCCTCTTGATGAGTTTGAACTTTTGACATTCACAAATTTAGATGGAAAAACCACCATCATATGTCCCTACTGTTACAGTAATCCACCATTTGAGAATGTTAAAAAAGGTATGTGAGAATAGTAATAATATTGCTAAACTTGTTAACTTTAAATTTATTTATTATTTTTTATTTAGGAATGAATTGTAGTCAATGTTTACATCCAACTTGTACTTACTCTTTAATAACTAATACAATTTGTCAATGTCAAATGTCAACTGATTTTATTGATTGTAAGGGTAAACTAATATTGGATCAAACTTCATCTACTAATTCATTTAAATTATATTGTACTATTTGCAAATCAATTGTGAAATTTAAAGATACTGTAAAAGGTACGTAGAATAAAATTGGTGTCTGCAACTGATTTGAAATTCTGCAACTGGTTGCAACTAGTTGCAGGCTCATATTACAATTCTTATGTTCTAAATTCTACAACGTCCCAAGTTACAACTTAGTTGCAAACACTGACTTTAATGTAGAAGCATTTGCAAATGTAAATGCATAATGTAAACAAACAACAATAATAATGATATATATATATATATTTATTTACTTTTATTTATAATTTATATTATTGTTGTTAGGAGTTTCTGTAAAGAAAAAATAATCTTTTCTACTTTCTCCATTAGAATTAACTGCTGCATTATAATGAATTTCAATATAAATTTTATATACAAATTCCCTTCTTTTTGATGATAACGATGATAATGGTTTATAATGTGACATTATATAGAAATATAAAATATAAATTTGACTTGGTGTGAAAATTTTTTTTGAGAATAACAGTTACATTATTTCCTTTTTAACATATACTATTACAATTTCTTTCTCCGTAGATTTTAATCTTACAAATTTGAAATGTTTGGTTGCTCAACTGAATTGTTGGGGAAGGGTGAAATCAAAAATCAAGGGGTAAAACTTTGTAATGAGTCGTTTTTCTTTTTGCTGCACATATTTTCGTTTTCCAAAAGTGATAAATGGTTGTTTTTATTTTTACATTACCGTATTATGCGAATTCCTATTTCTATCTATTTGGCAACCGAAAAATTTATCTATTTTTGTTCAAAACATTAGGGTTGAGTGAAGCAGATACTTGACCGAAAGAAAAATCATGTTTCGCTTTAGATGTTTTTTGCTGTCTATTGTTCGTTACCTATCATTTGATGATCTGGATCGGAAAATTTTTATTTTTTTTAATTCCTTTCGTAGAAAATAAATAAATTGCATTGATTTAATCTTTGCAAAGGAGGGGGTTTTTTAATTAAGAAAAAAAGCTTAATTGATTTTTTTTTTAACGTAAACTTTTGATGTTTGCATGAATCCTATTTTTCTATAGCGATAGACTTGGAAAAAATAAAAATAAAAATTGATCCAATTGACCTTTAATCGGAGAAAACAAATAAAATCCATTGATTAATCTTTTCAAAGGATTTTTTTTTAAGAAAAAAAAGTTATTGATTTTTTTTTTGACAGTCGAAGTTTGTAAATAAATTTTGATGTTTGTATGAAGTTTATTCTTCCAACCCCCCAATTGATTCAATTGTCCTTTAATCTGAGATAAATAAACATACACGAGGCAAAGATCAGGATAAAAAAGATCTTTTTTTTAATTAGGAAAAAAAGCTTAGTTGATTTTTTTAACAATCGAAATTCGTAAACAACTTTTGATTCACACGAGGTTCTTCTTTGCAAAGGATTTTTTATTAATTTAGTGAACAATTTCCCTTTGTACGTGTAATTTTTTTTAAATAAAATAAATTTTTAGCTCAATGTAACGAATAGAATAAAAATATTGATATAATAATAATATAACTGACTAATATTGATGCTCCGAACAAATATATAGATACCTCGCATTTGAATGTAACGTGTAGAGCCAAATCATACATATAACGCCATCTCAACACTACGTGCCTCGGCCTCAAATTTGAATGCAACGTAAAAGAAATCTAATGTACTATTTTTTGCAATTTTTTGGTCATAAGTAGTGGAGCGAATTTATTTATATGTTTTTGTTGTAATTTATTAGGCTACTCGATAAATGCACCATATGGCCATGAAATAGTCTAATTTTATTAAAGATCGCATCATTAATCATGAATACATGATAGTATGCTAAGACTCTTCGCATTCAGTGCAAATTTTAATGTTCCGAACGAATATATATGTGTGTGATTGAGTCGTGTGATTTTATAATATTATGATGATTGCTTTAAGTTTTCTCTGACAGAATTAATTGATAAGGATATAAATTGAAAAGAGAAAGTTGCATTCTTTAAAGAACAACTTCATCATTAACAAACTCTAGCGATCGGTTTATCATGATCCAACAATAAAAGAATTTTAGCGTTCTTTGAAGATCTAAAAGTGATAAAAATAGAAAACAAAATTAAAACTTACAAAGATATGTATCAAAGCCTGGGTGTGCTATGTAAAAGGTCGTTCTAAGTGCCAATATTGATCAATCTATGTTGCTTCAAACCCAGACACTAAAGATAGCTCAAGCACATTATTAATACCGGTCTTAGGGAAAGATAAGGCCTATCTTATAGCAACCCATGTAAAAGCTGTTGAAGCCTTTCACTTGCTCAAAGCCTTCCAACTTGCTTTTAGTCGAATTTTAAAATGACTCAATTCAATTCGAATTCAAAAACAGGATTCATGACTCGATTCGACACGATTCGAATCAAACCGGATTCCTAAATTGCTTTTAATGTCATATTAATATGGTTTCTATCGAATGGGGTCTAGTCGAATTATTTATTGTATTCGTTATGAATTTGAGTACTCGAAATGCATTGAATGTTTATTCGAATAAATGAATAAAACGAATGAAATTTGTATTACTATTACGAATATTAATATTGATAAAAAAAAGTAATGTAATTTACACACGGTTGCACAATTCATTGTTTTAATTGGTTCGAATCGAATCGAATCAAAGCCGAAACGAATCAGAAATTTGGTGATTCGAATTCGATTCGGTTTGAATTTCATTGATTCGTTCGGAGCCTTAATTCCACAGTTATCAGGCGCGAGAGCATTCGTTGACGAGTTTGTGATAGGAAAGTTTTATTAAATCTGATACCTGTGATCAATATCATCAGATTTATTCGTGATTTTTAAGGAACTATACGATTGGAATGGTTTTTTGATCCTCCTGATCTTAATGGGAGTATAATTGTTTATGTGAATTCTAGATACCTGGATAGACACGCATTATTAAAAGTTTCATGTCTTGGTATTGCCGTTACTTGAACGATGCAATTTATCAATTTTATTTATTTGCTAATTTAAGAGCAATAGTATCAAATCTATTGAATAACCGCCATAAACATCGTGATAGATGTGTAGTATATGGGACAAAGGTGTCAATCATGTTTGTTAAATAGTAATAAAAGGCTAAGTCATATTTGTTTATTTATTTTTTGTTTAACCAAGATATATAATTAATTATGTTAAAAACATTTAGAATATAAGATAAAAAAATTGCCAATACTGCAACAATTGTAGCATTACATTAATAAAGCTATTATTTTGAATACATTTGTTGTAATCTTACTGAAGGTAATAAGTTTGTGCATGATTTAAATTCTTTTGTGCTAATTTAAAGTTCGATCTTTCTTCAATTATTTAACCTATTGATTGGGTTCACTTTTGTGGGTAACATTTTATAAATTTAGTTATATCAATTTGTAACTTGGGTTCCAAATATAAAAGAAATTTGGATCATTGAAAACAAGTTCACGACTGAGAATGCATCAATTTTGAAAAAAATTTTTTTATCAAATACATTAATATTAATATGGAGTTCTTTCGGACCGTTTTGGCGTATCCATCTATGACATTTTTTTCTATTCAAAAAAAATATATCGAGACGTGTTTAAATTAGCCAATCGGAATTTAATCCAAATACCAAACGTATAAAATGATTATTATTTCCTGATATTTTCTTTAATCTCTTGGATCATATCTTCTGAATTGTCATTTTTTTTACTAAAAAAGAAAATTTTGCGAAATTTATTAAATTAATGATGAGAGGGTTTCTCAAGTTCGTTCTTAAACAAAACAATTATTTAAATCTCGTAATTCAAAAACGCTAAAAAGATTATTCAATTGTTATTAGTTCATCCGATCGACTGAATATACCACCTAATACTAAGTGTAGATTCTTGCATCCATTCGAAACTAACCTCTTTTCCCTCCAAAAATTATTACTATTCATTTTCCTATTTGCGTAATAATAATATTATATGGAAAATAAATTTTATATTCAGGAAAATTTTTATACTCTGGAAAATAAATTTTTATACTCGGAAAATTTTTATATATTCAGGAAAATAAATTTTTCATTTATTGATATGGAAAGAATATTTTTCATTCATTCATTATTTATTGATTTTTCATTCATTCATTTATTGATCTATTTATTATTTTTCATTTATTGATAAGGAAGGAGTATTTTTATTTATTAATATTAATATTCAGAAAAATAAATTTTTATATTAATAAAAAAATGGACCTCATTTTTGGCACTCCCGTAAGGGAAGGGCCAGAAAACTCTTTATTAATAATCTTTCCTAAATATACATGTTGTGTAATTTTATAATAATAATCGAATTAACAAAACACGTTCATATCATAATGTTAAAGTTGAGAAAGAGAAGGAGTTCGAGCGTTATTATTGCAAACACACATACATATATGATTTTCTAATTTTCTCAATAGTTTGTTAAATAAATTTTTTTTAAATTATATATATAGATAATAAATATTGATTAATAAATTTTGTTACAATATAATTATTACTGATTTTGTTTTATCTACTATTATTTCCACGTCGTTTTCTACCACCACCTCTATGAAATCTTTTATTTCCTCTAGATCTGCCACCTCTTGAGAATCTGTTACCACCAGTAGTAATTGTGTTTTTATGTATAATTCTAAAATAATCAATCAATAATTAAATTTACTATATAATAATGAGAATTGCTATTTCTCACCGGTGGTGATTGTCACTACCTAAGGAATTAAATTTGCGTGGGGCGGAGTTAGGGTTGGGGTTAATCATAAATTGTATAATTCCTTAGGTGGTGA